TAGAACTATTGACTTACTTCTTGTTGAAGACCACTACATGCTAAACGAAAGATTACCAATGACAACATATTTCATTCACAACTATATAGAAATTCTCAAAGCTTGTGGTGGAATGAACATTGAGAAACAATGAAGATTTATACAAAGAGAGAAGATAAATATGTAGTTCGTTATGATAGAACAACACCGTTATGGGATGTTATGAAAACATTGTGGGAGTGCAAATATTTTGAACCTATTTCTTATGGAGAACTTTTCACATATACTACTGACTTATATAAACAGAACCTTGCACCATTTAAAGATTTGACATATGCTCCAAAGTATTGTGTACAACTGAAGAAGAAAGCAGAGTCAAAAGAAGTAAATAAAGCTAAATGTAAGTTCATTCCTGAGCACGTTTTCTTTGCTGACTTTGAGTGCAGTACTGATGGCTTTCATAAAGCTTTTAACATATGTTACGACAGTGAAGATGGTTCAGTGAGTGAAAGCATATGGGGTCAGAACTGTGCAACAGAATTTTTGGAACGACTCCCTGACAAGAGTTTAATATATTTTCACAACCTCAGTTATGACATAAACTTCATCTTAAGACACATGACAGAAGTGAAAGGAACTCCCATCATTAAAGGTTCACGAACAATGCAAATAACTGGTTTATATAAAGGACGGGCAATTATTATAAAAGACTCTTACAGTGTTATAAATAAGAAGCTTAAACTATTTCCTGCTATGTTTAACTTACAAACAGGACCGAAAGAAGTATTTCCATATAACTACTACAGCAGTGTTTTGTTAGCAAATGACAACAGAACTGGTGTCATTTCTGAAGCATGTAAGTTTATCCGGGATGCAGATACATTTATGAAAAACATAGATTCCATCAAAGGTTGCAGAATAGATGAGAACCACTTCGACTTAGAAAAATATAGCACGTTTTACTGCAAACAAGATGTAAGAATTTTAAGAGAAGGTTTTGTAAAGTTCCGCAATGACTTATTGAAAGAGTTTGATTTAAACGTTTATGACTACGTTAGTATTTGTTCAATTGCTAACAAATTGTTTGAGAACAGAGTATACTTCCCGAATGGAAATCTTTATGACCTCTCAAATAAACCAAGAGAATTTATTTCGAGATGCATTCAAGGTGGAAGATGTATGTTGTCAGATAACATGAAACAAAAGAGCAAAAAGAAACTCATTGCTGACTTCGACACTGTTTCATTATATCCTTCAGCTATAGCAAGACTTTATACTTTAGAAGGTATTCCAAAAGTATTGAAGGAAGAAATGTTAAACACAGAGTATCTCATGAGACATTTATTCGATGATGACCAAAAGGAACCCATTGGTGAAAAGTTTATGTCTGGCTTCTTTGTTCTCATTAAGATAACAGAGATTGGTATACCCAGACACTTTCATTTAATAGTTTGCGACCCTGAACTAAATCCAGAACTTAACGTTCCAAGAAGTTCAAACACTTGCTGTCTCATGTATGTTGACCATATAACATTACAAGACCTCATAAAATATCAAGGTGTCAAATGTGAAGTGTTGCAAGGATACTATTACGATGGAAACAGAGATATGAGAATAAGAGATGAAGTAAAGAAGTTGTTTGAGTTAAGGTTAAAGTATAAGAAAGAAGAAAACCCCTTACAAGAAATTATAAAACTCATTCTGAACAGCATTTATGGCAAAACTATTCTATCTCCTATTGAGTCAAAAATAACCATAGTAGATGACAAAGATGCTATAAGATATGCTATAAGAAATTACAACCATATAGTGAAGTTCGAAGGTTTGGATGGTTCAGATAAAACTATTTTCAAGCTAACGAAAAGCATTTGCAGACACTTTAACTTCTGTCCACTTGGTGTTAATATTCTGTCTATGTCAAAACGTATTATGAATGAAGTATTCTGTACTGCAGAGGACATGGGTCTTCAAATATTTTACCAGGATACCGACAGTATGCACTTATATAATGAAGACATCCCAAAGCTTGCAGCAGAGTTTAAGAAGAGATACGGTAGAGAACTTATAGGAAAGAACCTTGGTCAATTTCATAGCGACTTTGCAGAAATAACACCTGGAAAACAAAGTTTAGCTTATAAAAGTATTTTCTGTGGAAAGAAGACCTACATAGACTTACTCACGAATGATTTAAATGAAGTTGCATTTCACTGCAGAATGAAAGGCGTGAAGCAAGATGTTATTGCTTTAACCGCTAATGAAATGTTTCCTGAAGCTATACAATGCTATTACAATGAAGATAAGAACATTCACATACCTGTTGGAACATATGACAAAGACTCTGAGTTCAGTTTAATGAAACTTTACAAAGCACTTTATGATGGTCAAGAGATTGCATTCGACTTATGTAAGTCATGTCAACCTTGCTTTGCTGAAAAGTTCAACTTTTCAATAACGACTAAAACAAGCTTTATTCGTAAGTTGAAGTTCTGAGGTCATTTATTTTTGTCAGCAATGAGGTCATTTGTGATAAAAATAAGCCGCTAGCGGCATGGGCGAAGCCTATGTGGTCATTTACAATACAGCTATTGTAGAGTTTAACAATTGTGCTTCAATGTATAAACAATCTTTCCCATCTGGAGGTAAGAACACTGGGCACTTATGGTCATGAGTGGAGAACATGTCTATCCAAAACTCACGATTGAAGCCAGTAAGCTTGTAATACTTAGGATTTGACAGTGGTGAAGTTCTTGTATGACCAATGAACTCATTTTCAACTCCCTTACTTAAGTTTGAATATAATATAGCTTGCTTTCTATCCCAAATGCCAGGTGTTACAATCTTTGAAAATTCATTTTTCCTCGGAAGTATTGCATCATAATTGAAAACATTCTTGAAGTCTTCATTGGGTTCAGAGATTTGAAACCTTATACGTAATGGATTTTCTTTCTTTTTAGCGACTTCATTGAATGGTGAATATATAACAAACTGACAGTCATGAGTTCCATCTTCATTTTCATTAAATTCATAATGAAAGTCTATAAGTTGTGGCTGACTACCTTCTTCTTTCAGTTGTGCAAGAAACTCACGTAAAGGCTGTAAAGTTTGTACTTCAATATTGAACTTTTTCTCGAACATCTCATTAAATGAAATCATACATTGCAACAATGTTGTATCGTCTTTAAAGTATTTGTATATGTGAATGTTTTGGGCGCTTAAAGACTGTTCGTCATTTTCTATCTCGACTTGAAGTATAAAGTCAACCTTTCTGAAAGCACGTGTTATATACATAGATGTTATGCCAATGTACTTCTCTTCATTTATGTTCACAATCCAGTCTGTTGGAAACTTAAACGTTACTCTGTTCCCCTTTATTTTGACGTCAGGGTTTTCACTACTGAACGCAACAGATAAAGGTATTTGTCTATACATTTAGTTTGGATAAAAATAAACCATTTACTCTTTCTTTGCTTCAGCTTCCTTTGCTTTTTGTTCTTCCTTTGCTTTTGCTTCTTCTCTAGCTTTTTTCGCCAGCAAACGTGGGTTCTTCTGTCTTCCAGCAGCTAATGCAGCTAGTTGTTTTTCACTAAGTTTTCTCTTTGGTCTCTCTGGCTTTTGTTCTTGTTTTTGTTCCTTCAGTTCGGATAAAATTTGCTCACGAATTTCTTTCTTCAATGCTTCAACATCTATGACCCCTTGGGTCTTGTCCGTAGGGCTTGTCTGAGTCATTTGACTGCAGATAAAAAACAAAATTAAAACTTTAACCGATGTAAAATGAGCTTGTCAAAATCAGAGCGAGAGTCTATTATATTAAATGACGCAAGAGGAATACAACATCCTTTCTATTATGTAAGTCAGAGTAAAGATGGTAAAATATACGTAAGAAAAAGAAAGGTTCCATTAGCGAATGCAGAAGCGACAACATTAAGGTGCATGGCAAGGGTGAAGTCCACGAAGCCCATATAAAACCTTCTGTTCAAACTGAAAAGTCAATAGAACCAGAAGAAAAGAAGCCAGATGTACTTTCAATAACGAACCAAGAGCTTATTGCAAAGTTCGTGAATTTCATTGAAAAACAAACCGAGTCAAAGAATCCTGACCCGCCAGTGAAAGAAGTTGAGACAAAAGAGAATGTACAGTTCATTGAAAATGTCAAGAAACAACTTCCACCACGAATGCCAAGAAGAAGAGTGAGAATAATGAAGTAAATAGATATTTTTATCCGAAGTAAATACATGCAGAACGAACAGTTAAACGAATTTACTCCAGCAGAGCATATTCATCAGATTCGCTCATATTTCGATATCATAGACAATGCAGTTCAAATTGGTGACACTAATAGAAAATATTCTGACGCAAAGATTCCATCACAACCTGGAACTGCTAAAGATAACACATGGGTAACATTCAATCTCTCACCTCCTGGTGAAAATATGTTGGACCTTTACAATACATTCATTACGTATAAAATGGAAGGTCAATTTATTGTAGATAAAGAAATTGGTTCAGGTTCCAATAAAACAAACCCACCAGGATTTTGGATTGGTTTCGATGACGCTTTCTATGCAGTTGCTGGATATCAAATCCTTGCAAATGGTCGTATCGTATATTCTCAAGACAACGCAAGAGAAGAAGCATATATAACTTCAAACTCACAAACTACCGAACAAATAAAGAAAGTAGATGTTTTCTCAAAGACTCGACATGAAGATGTATGGAGTCATTCGGGAACATGCAGAACAGGACAAATTGTTAGTGGTCCAATTACAGCAGGAAAATCATTTGATTTTAAGCTTCGTTTAAGAATTCCTGTTAGAAGATTCCTTCCATTAGAAGCTATTCGATTTATTCCAGCTTTTGCAGGAAACATTCAGCTTAAAGTAAAGTTCAGTAGCGACGCCTTACAATGCACATCTATATCTGTAAATGATATCATTGCTTTCAATCCAACTCTTAAAGTTGCATTTGCTTCAGATTCAAATCCACCGACAAATAAATTTGTTCCATGGAATGAACCATTCACTATGATAACGAAGGCAGTAGAAGCTAGTGGAACAGTTACTATTACAACTGTAACCCAGCAACTATTTCGAACAAAGATGGATTTTAATGAATGTTTCATTCATCCAAAGTCATTCTCTTTAGACCCTAACATTTATACAGAACTTGTAGAACATTATACAAACGAGGCTTTATGTTTTCCTGTTAAAGTTATGGATTGGATTCCTATGGACGGTTCATTCTCAAAGAATACAGATAGTTCAAGTGCAACATTTACAGCAGCTTATACGCCTATTAATGTTAAAAGTATTTGGGCACTATTTAGAAAGAAAGACAACTATTATGTTAATTTTGAGAACCCTAAGTTTAAATATCTTCAGCTTTCCATGGGAGCTTATGGAAATATGCCTGCAGAACCTGAAAAATCATATGGACCTGTATTTTATGAAATGGTTGCGAACGCCTGCAATACAAACAATGATATGATAGGATTTAATGAAGATGTTATGAGGTCATTGGTGGATGATGGTAGTGTGGAACATAAATGGGATAGCTATGACAACACACATTTCTTATGTGGTTTTCCAACAGAAGTGGACTTTTGCTTCCAGCAAGGTCAAACATCTACTGCTCCAATAACATACAAATTGTCTGTTAAAGGACCTATTGAACTAGCAACTGAAAATGTACCAAAGCCACTTATTGGATTTATGAGGGATTGTTGCTTTGCCATTCAGTGCGTGCTAATGGAATCCCCATAATAAGATTAGATGACTATAACTTAGCTACGGACGACAGTGAGGAATAAAGGATGAACGTTTATTTTTAAAGCTTATAAATGAGTTCTTCATCAAGCTCTCGTGAACCTTCACCATCTATGAAACAAACTTTACCAAACGATTATGGAGCACCTATTGAATATTTCTTACGAGCTGCACAATGGCAAAGAGCAGTTCACCAAGGTTAGGTGTTCCACCAGCTCCTGTCAAAAATAGCATTTGGTCAAGTCCTTATATAAGATATGGTCTCCCACTAGGTTTGCTAGCTACAGCAGGAGCAGTAATGATGTTGAAAAGAAACAAAGCAAATGTTATAAATAATACTGAAGTAGCTGAATTTGAACAAACTCCGACACCATCGCCAAAACCAACGTCAAAACCAACGCCTTCACAAACAACACCTTCAATGACTCCTGAACCTATGAAAGTACAAACTCCTGTTCAAAAGTCAACTCCAAAACCGACTCCAACATTTAAACCAGAACCTACTCCTCAAATAAATCGTAAAACTCCTGCGTTTCCTTACTGAAAAAATAATGTTAGTTTTATTTTATTTGAACATTTTATTTAGAGTAAAATGACGACTAAAGTCACTGAAGCAATGAAACAAAAATTTTTGGTAGAATACATTAAATCAGGAGCGGTTCCAGAAGGTTTTTACGTTCATACTATGAAGGATGGTAGAGTTCAGTTTAGAAAGATAAAGCAACCATTAGATAAAGAAGGAATTTTGAGAAAGATTAAACTTCATGAGGACAACATTGCTGAACTTAAGAAGAAGTTAGAAGAGTTGGAGAAAGGAAGAGAGTTATAAAGTAATGAATTCAACAGACCCAAAGGGTCAGAGCCGCTTTGCGGCTAGGGTGAAAAAACAGGTGAAAAAAGAGGTGAGATCTCACCACTTCACCTAAATTTATTTTTGCGCTATGTTTTCATACGTGTGAGGGTGGTGATATCATTAATTTTTAAGTTTATTTTATTATTTTACTGAAAATTTTTATTTGGATGTAAATGACGAAAACTATTGAGATAACAAACTACAACGGTCATGAGTTCAAGAATTTGTTCTTCGTTCCTCGTGAAAATACATTCTATCAGATACGAGGGAGAAAGGGTAAAGTTAGTTTGAGCGTTTATGAAGGAATGAAGAATGGAAAGTTTATACAAGCATACGATACAAACGGTAAACGTGTTTCATTAGCTTTGTCAAAACTTACTAACATTCATTTTGACAGTGATTTTGACCTATATGAAGAAGAAAGTGAGTCAGAAGATTATGAGCTGTTATGTGAAGCACAGCAATGGGAGGAGTTGCAATACTTTTGTAAGTGAGAACGTTTATTTTTTACATTAGTGAAGTCGTTTGTGAAAACGTTTATTTTTTCATTAGTGAGGTGAAGTGGTTGGCGGCTTTATAAATATTTAAGGTTAAGTTGGTGTTTGTGTTTGTGTTGTAAAATATACATTAACGGTTTCGTAAAGTGTCAAAACCGCTAAGTTGTGTACGGAGGCGCGCAGTGCCACAGTACACGACTTAGGTATACTAACTTTGATAGTGTAAACCCATATACATGAAAGCGTGCATGCATAAAGACAGGTATTGTCAGCAATGACTACCTGCCCAGCTATGAGTGATCAGAGAATTACCATCTCAGGCTTTTTGAGAACGTTTCAGCCAGGACCCTCGTATGTTGACTGTGAGAAAGGCATCCTTTATCTGAAATAGATGCTTTTCCAACAATCAAATTCGAAGATTTTCGACGTTGTTGTAAAAAGAGAAGGAGAAGGAAAGAAGAGGAAGGAGAGGAAGAAGGAAAGGAAAAGAAGAAGAAAAAAGAAAAAAAAGAAGGACATATTAAATATAATGCGCACTTAATAGTGCCGAGGCGGCGGAGCCGCCGAGGCGCGATTTTTTTGACCCTATATTACCGCACGGCAATGTTTTTCTCGATTTTGTACAGCCCTAGACTAATAGATGAATAGTATATAAATTCTATTAAAATGGATTTGATCCAAAAAAATATAAAACCAAAAATAATTGTTATAATTTAAATGAAGAAGTAATTTAAAACGATTTTATTTATGATCAAATTTTATATATTTTTTTGGATCAAATCCATTTTAATAGAATTTATATACTATTCATATATTAGTAAACACTACCGTATATTATTTTTTAAGCTATCTTATTTTTTGAAATTTTATTCAAATCTTTGGTCGCAAGAAGAATTGCATGATAAATAAAAACATTTAATCAAAGTCAATTTTCTTTTTCATATTCAAATGGACTGAGTGTTAACATTTAACATTTTTGCTAATTGTCGTCAAAAATTAGGCGTAAAGCAAAAATTAATATTTCATATGGTTTTATGATAGATAAGCATTATATTCCCACTCATTATATTCGTAAATTTTGAGGTTTATCCTTCGCTTTTAAGATCATTGAATTTGATTTTTATATAAAATAGTTATATATTAGAAAATAATATGAGTTTATGTGATATTATTTTTCAGAAGATTTCATTCTATATGCCTATGAAAAGTACTCTCAAAACTAACTTTTTCCTAATTATAATTAAATCTAGAATATTGTATTATGCTTAGTATTATTTCATTTTTCTCATTCAATTTAGAATTTACAAATGTCAAAAAATTGAGAGCTGTCACTTTTGATGAATTTCTGTATATTACAGAACAAAATAATATCAACTTTATATACCAAATTAACAATCGTTTGAGTTGATTGGTTTTGAAATTTTAACTTTTATGAAATATCTAATTTGGCTTGATATGGGACAATTTTCATATCCACTCATATTCAATTTTTTTTTGTTGGCCCGAAAATTTTGGCCAAAAATAAAATGGAAATAATCAATTTAGACAGTTAATATAATCATTCATATCTGATGTAAAACAATTATGTGTGACATAAAACCGATGAGATTAAAAATTTTACGTACTATCCTCATGATATTTCTAGTGATTGTGCACTTATCAAAGTTACAACGTTAACCCTGAATATTTTTTGTCAATTGAATTATAATTTGAGAGGATTATTTTTATGTTTTTCAATACTTGAAATTCTCTGAGGATTTTATTATTACTGTATTAAAATACTATACATTTTTCCTGCATTTGTCTTTTTATTTCTCAATTCAACTATTCAAATGAGGGTAAAATTGAATCGCAATAAACTTCACAAAAGTAATTCTTAAATGAATTATTGGCACTTTTTTACAACAGAATATCAATGGTTGATATTGACCTTGTAGAAGAAACTCTTTGTAATTTAGAGCATTCCCTACAACTTAAAACAAGTTCACTTCCAAATCTTGAAGACATAGAATACTTATGTGAAGAATTTCAGACATTATTATCAAAGGAAGAAAACATTGTAGAAAACTTGGCTGGAAATTTCATCGTGGTTGGTGATCTCCATGGAAACTTTAACGATCTCATTTATATAATGAGAAAATACGGTCATCCAAGTCAAAGCCTTAAGTATCTATTTTTGGGAGATTACGTTGACCGTGGATGCAACTCACTGGAAACAATTCTTTACTTGATTTCCCTTAAATTACTATATCCAAAGTTTGTTACATTAATCAGAGGAAATCATGAATTTATAGAAATTTGCAAAAACTATGGATTTTATGAAGAGTGCAACCAGAGACTCGGCGAAATCGAAGGAGATCTAGTGTTTGAGATGATTACTGGCACATTTCCGTACCTCCCACTTGCTGCCATTCTCCCAAACAGAATCTTTGCTGTCCATGGTGGCATTTCATCCCATATTTATGCATTAGATGATATCCGTAACATCGATCGTTTTCAAATCGAAAAGAGCTCTGATAATATAATTGCGACAGACCTTGTTTGGGGAGATCCAAGAAATCTTGAGTCTGGCCAATTAACAAGCCCATCAGAGCGCGGTTTAGGCGAAAATTATTCTCTGATTAAGACAATTCAATTCTTGAAAGATAATCAATTGAATTCAATAATCAGAGCTCACGAACCATGTGCAGATGGATATCATGCATCTCTTGTTGACCAGGATGGACGTACTGTTTGCCTCACAGTTTTCTCCGCTTCCAATTATTGCGAATTAAATAACATGGCAGCTGTTGCAATCATTAAGAACGGCAATATCCAGATTGAGAAATTTGTTTCTTCTTCAGATGAAGAAAGTGAATCATTGCCAATCAGCCTTCCAATGGATCTATTTTCCAGATCAATTTTAGTAAGTTAATTTTTCTGTATTTCTCTCATATTTTTTGTTTGTTCTATAAACTTTATTTTCGGTATACATACACTTTTTAGGTTATCATTATGTTATTCATGGAAATTCTGAAAATCTCAGTATTTTTTTTAAGAATTTAAGGAACAATTATAAGTTTTTATTTAAATACAACATGATAATAACGATTTTATTTCCTAAAGATGAGTACAAGGATGGCTATTAATCCGGCCAAACAATTTGTTAAAAGTAACATGGAATGACGATACTTCATTTTGTTAAGGTCGCGAAATAGATACCTGGGTTCAAACCATGAGTAAATATCTGCGACATAATAATAAAATGAAATTCCGGAGGCAAGTTCGAGGAGTAAAACTGGCCAAAGATAACTAATATTAAACAATACCGAGATGATGACTGCAAAATATGCAATTAGGGTTGGCCTTTCTGTAGTTGATAAATTTTTGCTTGCATCTAATGGATTTAAGTATTTCGTTTCAAAATCTGTTATCATTTTGACCACTCTGATCTGTAAGTATATGATAAAAGCAATTAGAATAAGGCTGACATAGTATAATATTAATGCTAACATTGACAAAAATAATACTATTTTGACACGTAAATATTCCTTATTTTTGACAATTGTCAAAAATATAATAAAATTTTAGTTGAATGTCTTTGCTTTTACCGCAGGAGCTAATTGAGCACTTAGCTCCAACGGTATGTCAGCTCTTTAAGATTGATAAAAATCAAGTTATTACTGAGCTGAAGGATTTTTCTCCAATATTGGAAAAATTCATTACTGATCCGGCAAAACAATACATTCTTATTCAACAAACGGATCACCTTGTAGTTGTACACGCTTTAGAGAATACAGGTGGACCAGTTTTGTTTTGTAATAAAAGCTCTGAGAAGCTATATAAATCAAATTATCTTGCAACGCTCACAGTTTTACCAATTTCATCAGAAGCATTACTTTCTGTAATGCACAGCATTGTAGGAAGGTTGTTTTTACCCTTACTTCAAAACTCTACAAATGATGAAGATTCACTTCAAGTAGATTTATATAACAATTTATCAGTGAGCAACATCTCAATGAACAGATGCCGAAGCAATACGAAGTTTCCTGAACCGGTTCTCGACATAGAAGAGAAATATTTTCAAATCGGAGATTCAAATCAATTAACACCTGAACAAGAATCATTAATACTTACATCAATCGAAAACTGGGAACTAAACGTCGATTCAATTCTACGTGATAGCCAAAATCAGACTTTTGATAACATTCAAGAAGAATTAAGCTTCTGGCCATTGATTTCATCGAGAATTGAACAAATAATTCAACAATCAGAAAAGCTATCTAACTCAACTCTACCAGATTTTATCAAAAATCACAGAAAGAAATTTCCATCAAATTTAATCAAAATTAAAACAGAAGCAAATGGACTTTACGAAATTATCTATCCATTTTCAGTCTGTCTAAGCGAATTTGAGTACAATATTTTTGATAATATCACTGATTTGGATCAATTAAACGAAGTCATTGTCAGATCAACAGAATTCCTTTCTGATAGAATACTTGGTGAAAGTTTATTTGATTTCAGATCTTTACAGCTCTTTTCATTGCTTAACAAAGAAATTATGAAAAATTTATTGAAAGTCATATCAAAATCAGATCTTCTCAGAAAGAATATCGATGATTTCCAGCTTATAGCAATGAATACTCATGAAATAATTAAGATTTGGAACGAACAAAACAAAATTATTATTGATAAGTTGAATTCTTCCAAATACATGCACGAATTGAAGGAAGAAAACATGGATTTAGAGAACAAAGGTAAAAGTATCACAAGATTCATGAAACAATTAAAAGATTCAAAAGAACATTATCATAATTTCCTTGATACATTAAATAAACATCCAGAAGTCGCAACAAATGATATGAAATTAAAGTTACAATCAGCTTTCGAGAAATTAAGTGACAACATTACGTTTGAATTGACAAAAGAAGGAATTCATAAGAGAAATGTTGTTATTTATGAATATAATCAAGCTGTTGAGTCAGTAGAATCCCAAGTTGCTCAAGTAATCTCAACAATGATCTCAAATATTAAAGATTTATTCGAGATGCAAGAAATTTTTGTCCAATACAAAGAACTCATCCGCCAACCCACAATCCAATCGTATCTACGTAAGAACCAATTCGATTTCGTATCACTTATTGAAGGACAAATCGATATTCTTAAAAAAGATCTCATTAATATCTCAAAGCAGAACATTTATACTTATCTATACCAAAAAGGAACAACCACAGATGGCGCCCGTCTCATTATTATTAAGAGAATCGAAGCCAGGCTTAACAGATTTAAACAAATGCTCGTTGACGTGGTCGGAGACAACTGGGAGAACGCCAATATATGCCAGACCTTATCAATAAATGTCCACAAGATCGAAAGTGACATTGCAAAAGAGAATGATTCATCTAAATTTATTACAATGTTCCATAACAAGCCAGAAACCCTTAACCAGTCATTATTTACTATAGAGAAGCGTAATGGAAAGCCTTCTTTATCATGTAAATACTCCCAAACCATTGCAAATACCTTAAACACATATAGAACTGCAAAACAACTCGGTTTATCATTCGACCAAGCAGCCGCTGAGAATATAGAAGTGATGCTAAAGAACTATAATAAGTACATCCAACTCAATGAAGCAATTATTATGTGGAATTCCATTATAGAAGTGATTGATCAAGATACAATTGCTTTTTCTGCTGACTATCTATCCGAAATATATAATTATCTTGAGTCAGGATGGAAGAAACAATGGAATGCTCCTGATTTGGATGATTTTATTAAAGGATTTGCCCAATCAGTTGTTGTTTTCAAGACAAACTTGGCCAAATATAGAAGAATCAACGAATCAATTGATTCTTTCATCAAGAAAATCAGCCAATCCGAAGATTCTCAGCAAATTAAGGAATATCTCGGTGAAATTTTGGCTTTGGTCGATCAATTGTTTACATCAACTAAGTTCCAAAACAGAGATTTGTACTGCGAAAACATCAGAAAACAGATTTCTGAGTTGCTCAAAGTCAAAATCGAAAAAACTTTCACAATTTGGGATGAAAAATTGGCCAACAACCAAATGTTACCAAATGTTGAGTCCATTGTCATCAAGTTATCATTGTCTTCTTCTAATCAAATTACTTTTTCACCACATTATGACCAAATTCATCCAATTTTGAACAGAATGTTCACAGAGACAATGAATAATTTCATTCCACAGATCGATTTCCTTACATTTGATGACATTGTTCAGACAAAACCAGTTGATATAATTTATAATCACCTGGAAAAGTTGTCTTCTACTGTAAGTAAAGCAGTAAATCAATGGAGAAACTTCCAATTCTTCTTCTCCAATGAACCAGGAATGATCAATTATGAGAATTCCATTCAAAATTGGACAACTTTCTTAAGTAATTTAGTTTCTGTTTATCAGAACGTCAAAAAGATGAATCCAAAGGAGAATTTTGGCGTCGTCGCTATCGATTCAACTAAGTTACAGCCACTAATTGTTGAAAGATTGGCGGAATGGCACAAAGAAATCGCCAAGAACTTAAGAAAACACGCCAGAGAGATCATCAAAGACATCTCAATGGAAATCAAAGGCTCTAAAGACGTAATTGAGAACTCAAAGACGTCAAATGCAAAAGAAATTGCACAGTTCTTAAGAAAATTCAAGGATGCAGGCAAAAATTTGGCTGAATACCAGGCATTGATCCCATATTTGGATGAAACAACCAAATACTGCAGAATTGAAGAATATCAACCCTTCAAAACCAATTTCCTCGATTTCATTGCTCTTTATAATAAGAGAAAAGATGAAATCGATACAAATAGACAGTCAATTTGTGCTACTGTCGATTCAGAAACTGATACAATGAAAAATAATGTCAAAGTATTGCAGATGCAATGGGAAAAAGTCAGACCAATCAAAGGTTCTATTGTTCCTGAGAAGGCTCTTAAGGGATTGAGTACATTTGAAACAGCGTTTTCAAAATTAAAATCTCAATGGGAGGAACTTTCAGCTGCAAGAGAATCTATTGGCCTCCAAGTTGTTGTTCCTGCAGAATTAGATGGAATGATCGGCGACCTCAAAGAAATTAAGAACGTTTGGAATAATTTGGCAACAATTTATGGAAAGTTGCAAAGTTTATTCGCTGTTTCTTTCTCAACATTCGTTCCGCAAGAATTCAAGTCAAAGATCATCGGTTTGAACGAGAAAATGCAAGCCATGGAACAAAATGTTAAAAATTACGAGCCATGGGAGTACTACCAGGACAATTTGAAGAAGATTTTGAAGATTTATCCAATATTAGAAGGCCTCAAATCTCCAGCCATCATTACAAGACACTGGAGCTTAATTGGTCAGAAATTTAATAAAACAATTGACATTGAAAAGATCACACTTCAAGAGATCTACGACTTTGATCTCGAAAAGAACCAGGAATTCATTGCAGAAATCACGAGAAATGCTCAAGGCGAATTTTCATTGCATCAATACCTCGAAAAACTCAATACTTCATGGAACACTTTGGAGTTCGAGTTCAGCAATTACAACGAGAACATCCAAATCATCAAATCATGGGATGTTATTATGTCGACCATTTCAGATCACTTGAATTTCCTTGGAACCATGCAAACCTCACCATTCTTCAACGTATTTAGAGAACAAGCTACATCATGGACCACTAAATTGAACCAATTACAAGTTTCATTAGATGATTGGCTCGACGTTCAACGGAGATTCATTTATTTGGAAGGTGTTTTCAATTCCAGTGATATCAGACAGATATTGGCCAAAGCGACCACTTCTTTCAAGAGGAATGAAAAAGAATTCATAAAACTGACAAAACAAGCACAGCAACTCAAAATTGTCATTCAAATTTTAACGATTCCAAACATCGATGTAACTCTTCAAACGCTAAATGACAATTTCCTACAGTTGCAGAAAGAGTTAAGTGATTACTTGGAGAAGCAAAGATCATATTTCCCGAGATTCTTCTTCATAGGCGATGAAGATCTTTTGGAAATCATTGGCAAATCATCACAAATCAACGAAATCCAGAAACATTTCTCAAAAATGTTCGAAGGATTACACCAAGTTAAAACAGAGAACAAACAAATTACACAGATCTCTTGCAATGAAGGAGAAACTGTGGACTTGTTAACACCTGTTTCTATTGAAAACGCTGTTTACAAGATGTTGTTGGATTTGGAAAATGAAATGAAAATTTCTTTGTCTTCTCAATTATTCAATAGTTTACAAATCTTCAAAGACATATGGAAGAACAACATGAATATTGAGAATTTAAAGAGTTTCATTGAATCCAATCCAGCACAAATTGTTTTGCTGTGCTTCTGCATTGTAACAACAATGATAACAGAAGAAAAAATACAACAAAATGAAAACAAATCGATAGCAGAAGAAATAATTAAATTTATTTCACTGTTAAGTCAATTAGTTTTCACTGATCTTTCTAATATCGCAAGACATACTGTTCAGCAAATAATTACTGAAGCAGTTCATCAAAGAAATCTGTCACGTAAACTGTCAGAAGTGAAGTCAACTGATGATTTCAATTGGACGAGGTATTTGAGGTTTTACGCGACAAATAATTCTCAAGTTGAAGCCAAGATCGGTGATGCATCATTCCTTTATGGTTTCGAGTATTTAGGAATGTGTCCTTTCTTAGTCAGAACTCCTTTGACAGATAAAGTTTATTTGACATTAGCTCAAGCTTTACATGCCAAATTAGGAGGATCTCCATTTGGTCCTGCAGGTACAGGAAAGACAGAAACAGTCAAAAATATGGGACATCACCTCGGAAGACATGTTTTAGTCTTCAATTGCGATGAAACATTCGATTTCAAAGCGATGGGAAGAATTTTTGTCGGTTTGTGTCAGTGCGGATCATGGGGATGTTTCGATGAATTCAACAGATTGGATGAACAGATGCTTTCCGCTGTCAGCCAACAGATACAGACAATACAAGTTGGTTTGAAATCAGGTTTGTCAACGATCGAAATCCTCGGAAAACAAACAACAATCAAGGAAAACATCGGAATTTTCATCACAATGAATCCAGGATACGCAGGACGTGTTGAACTCCCTGACAACCTCAAGCAATTGTTCAGAACAATGGCAATGAACAAACCAGATACAGAACTCATCACAGAAGTTCTTCTTTTCTCACAAGGATTTTCAAGTGCTGAAGTTTTGGCACCGAAATTTGTCACATTATTCCAAATGGCGAAAGAAGCACTTACTAACCAGACACACTATGATTTCGGACTCAGAGCGATGAAGTATGTTTTGGCGAATGCTGGACAATTAATAAGAATTAACAATACAAACAATTTGTCACAAGAAATCGAATCTAAATTGTTAATTTCTTCAATTGTCAACACATTGTATCCGAAATTATTGACACAAGATTTAATCAAACTCAAACAATTGATCAATGACGTGTTCCCAGGTGTTACTCCTGAAGACATCAACCAAGAATTACTCATCAATTCTCTCAAAGAAGAATCCGAAAAAATGGGATGGATTTGCTCCGATGTTTGGCTCAATAAAATCATCCAGTTGTACTACATACAACAGATCAACCACGGCTTCATGTTAGTTGGCCCTTCAGGAACAGGAAAAACAAGTGCAAGAACGGTTTTATTGAAAGTTTTGTCACTTTTGGAGAACAAAGAGAGTGAATGTTACGTAATCAATCCAAAATCAGTTTCCAAAGAGACATTGTTCGGTACATTAGACAGCGTAACAAGAGAATGGACTGATGGTGTCTTCACGAGAATATTGAGAACAATTGTTAATGACCAAAGAGGTGAAATGTCAAAGCGTCATTGGATTGTTTTCGATGGTGATGTTGATCCTGAATGGGTAGAAAACTTGAACTCAGTTCTTGATGATAACAAATTGTTGACACTTCCAAATGGTGAAAGAATTTCTTTGCCGCCAAATGTAAGAGTTGTTTTCGAAGTCGCAAATTTGAATTTCGCAACTCCTGCAACTGTTTCTCGTTGTGGAATTGTTTTCTTCTCACAAAACACATTGACAAACAACAAAATTATTCACTATTACATATCACAGCTCCAGAAAGATGTCATCATCAAACAAGACCACATTTTGCACTCAGAATTCATGGATATTGCAATTCCTGACATGTTGAATTTACAAAATGAGTTTACAAATATCGTCAAACCGCTAATTTCACAAACAATTTCTGTTTGCGAACAATTCTATCAGAAATACCAAACAAAGAGTGTCATGGAGATTCCATTGAGTTCTTTGATTTCTACCTTCTTTTCACTGATCAAAAGTGCTTTTGTTTTATGTTTCCGACAATCAAATAATGATGTTTTGTTACAACAAAGTGTTATTTATTCTGCGTTTTGGGCTTTCGCTCTTCCATTTACTAATGAAATCAGAAAGGATTTGGATAATTTGCTGCATAACCAATTCAGTGGATATTGTCCTCGTGGTTCTTTGCTTACAAATTATTTGTCTTTCGAAACACGTGATTTTGTTTCTGTTGAATCCCAAAATTTGCCAAAGATTTTGGAAGATTTCGTTCCAACATCGCAAAACGAAGTCGAGAAACAAGTCATCAACCTTTCATTCATTGGTGGAAGACCTTTGGTATTAACAGGTCACAGCGGAATCGGTAAGCGATCTATCTATAAATCAGCCCTCCAAAATTACGCCGATATCGAAACGATAAATGTAAACCTTTCAAATGTTTCATCAATTGATTTCTTGTTGAGAACATTTGAACAATTTTGTGTTTACATCAAGACATCGTCATCGATTAAAATGAAGCCTAAGAAATCGAACACATTCTTAGTTTTCATTTGCAATGACATGAATTTACCAAATCTCGACAAATACGGAACACAAAGAGTTGTTGAGTTTCTCAGACAAATTTTGGAGTCAAACGGTTTCTGGCATCCGATAAAACGCGAATGGATTCAATTAGAACTCATCAGTTTAGTCGGTGTTTGCTGTTTACCAACTGAATATGGCCGTGTCAAGTTATCAGAGAGATTCTTAAGACATGCAGCTGTTTTCTATATCAATCATCCTTCGAAAGAAGAGACACAAACAATTATCTCTAATTTGATTGATTCCAAAGAAGTTCCTGAAAAAGAATCGACATCAAAAACAATTTGTGAGTTTTATTTCGATTACAAAGATCATTTCAGGGCTTCAGAAATCATCCATTACAATGTAAACATGAGAGATATCATTTCATGGTTGAATTCTTACATTTACGCGTTCAACAACAACGCAATGATTGATCCTTCTCATGTTTTGTATTATGAAGGTTTGAGAATCTTTTCTGACAGATTGGAAAAAAGTGACGAAAAAGAAACTGTCAAACAACTACTCCAATCAACAATCATCAAAAACTTTTCTAGTACAAACAACGATCTATTCGATAAGGACGTTGTTTATACAAGATTAATGGATGGACATTACAAACCATTTTCTAAAGAAGAAATTTTAGAAAAATTGGTAAAGAAAATGAAAGAATTTTGCGACGAAAATTCATCAAACGAGATGATATACTTCGGAGAAGCAATTGATGAGTTCGTACGCATTGAAAGGAGATTACTAGAACCAGGAGGACATCAACTTTTGGTTGGTTTAAGTGGAACAGGAAAAATTTCAATGACAAACTTTGTTTCTTGGTGTTTCGAGTTACCTGTTTTCAGGTTAAGAATACACAGAGAATACACAATTAATGACTTAGATCAAGACTTGAGAAGAGTACTCAAGAAATGCCTTGAAACAAGTGTTTGTTTAATTGTCAAAGATACTGATTTGATTTTGCCAATTTTCACTGAAAGATTGAACGTTTTGCTGACGGAAAGTTCAATTCCTGGCTTGTACCAAGGTGATGAACTTCAATCTTTAATTGCCAGTGTTAAAGATGTCGCAAGAATCAATGGACAAATGGTTGAAAATGATGACGATGTTTACAATTATTTCGTTGACAAAGTTCGAAATAATTTACATATCATTTTCACATCGAATTCAAGTAAAATCGATATGAACTTGAAATCCATACAGTTCCCATCATTGTTCGCTACTTGCAACATCAATTGGATCGGTGCTTGGTCGAATGATTCCCTTAAATACTTCGCCAACAAAATTATCAAACAAAATGAACTGAAAACTGATGAAAACATCATTGAAACATTAATTAAAATACATCAGGATTCAGTTGATATTTCCAGTAGTTTGCAGAACACTAATTATGTTTCTCCAAGATATTTCTTTGAGTTTATTGAACAATATTGTAAAATCTACAAAGAAAAATCTAAAAATATCCAAACAGATAAAGAACATTTAAGCAAAGGTTTGCAGAAACTCAAAGAAACACAAAGCGAAGTAAAGAGAATGGGCGTTGAACTAGAAAAGAAGAAAGTCATTCTCAAGGAATCAGAAGTCAAAGCTGAACAAAAATTGGAAGAAATCATCAAAGACAAAGAAACAACAAAACAAAAACAAACCGAAGCTGAAAAAATCAAAGTCCAACTTGATGAAAAAACAGCAATTATCAATAAAGACAAGAGTTCCGCACAAGCAGAACTTGATGCAATTGCTCCTCTTATCGCAGAAGCAGCCAATTCCGTCCAGAACATCAAGAAATCCAATTTAGATGAAATAAGAAGATTCAAACAACCTCCGGATGTTGTCAAAAATACTTTGGCGGCGGTTTTGACACTTTTAGGCAATAGAACGACAGATTGGTCTTCTATCCAGAAATCCATATCAGAATCAACATTCATCAAGTCTGTTGTTGATTTCAAAGTCGACGCAAGCCAAGCAACAGCCATAAAACGTGCAAAACAAATGATTTCTGCAACAGATTTAACTTATGAAAAAGCAGACAGAGCTTCTAAGGCTTGTGGACCTTTGTTCAAATGGTTGGATGCAAATCTTAGATATTTAGACATTGTCGAGCAGACAGAGCCATTAAGGAACAGAGTAAGTGCTTTGGAAGAAGAAGCAAACGAATTGCAAAAGAAACATGACGAAATGTCTCAAACAATTCGTTTACTCGAAAAATCTTTGAGAAGAATCACTTTGGAATACCAACAGTTAACAAGCCAATGTGATACATATCGCAAAGAAGCAGAACAAGTACAAATCAAACTCGACAGAGCTCAGCATCTCTTGGAAAGTTTGACAAGTGAAACTCAAAGATGGAATGAAAGAAATGTCACTTTTCAGAGTGATTTTGACAACTTAATTGGTCATTCTATATTATCATCTGCATTTGTTTCTTATTGTGGATACTTAGACCAACAGCATAGAATTGATTCCATGTATAGATGGATGTCCATTTTGTCTGAAAACGGAATTAAATACAACGAAGAATTTAATTTCGTCAATTTCATGGCAAATCCAAATAAATTGATCGAATGGAGTAAAAAAGAACTTCCTCAAGATGACCTTTGTATTCAAAATGCTATTGTTCTTGATAGCCAATCAACAAGAATTCCTTTCATTGTTGATCCAGCCGGACAAGCAACACAATTCATTTTGAACACATTCGACAAAATCATCAAAACAAGTTTTGTCGATTCCAAGTTCCCGAAGCATTTGGAAAGTTGTTTGAGATTCGGAACAACACTTTTAATTGAAGATGGCGAACAAATGGATCAATTAATTCTTCCTGTTTTATCTCATGAATTCAGAAAAGTTGGAGGAAGAATATTAATGGATTTGAAGAGAAATGAAATTGATATCTCTTCATCTTTCAAATTGTTCATTGTAACAAGAGATACAGATTTCAATCCAAATCCTTCAATTGCTTCACTCACAAATTTGATCAATTTCTCGGTCACTTCACTTTCATTAAAAGCTCAATGCTTGACAAGATTATTGCAAGTCAAGTTGCCAGACATAGAGAGCAGGAGACAGGAATTGCATCAATCATTAAGTACAATGCAAGTTTCTCTTTCTAAACTCGAAAACGACATGTTAGATGTCTTCAGTAAAACGAAAGGAGAAATTTTGGAAGATGATAATTTGTTGCATTTACTTGAAGACATCAAAAACGAGTCGATTTCTATCGAGCAGAAAGCGAACGAGACAAGAAAGACACTCCAGGAGATAGGAAAGACTTCAGAACAATTCTCTCCTGTTGCTGAAGTTGCTACTTCTCTTTATTTGGCTTTGAGAGATATGTGTTCAGTTCACTTTTTGTATCAGTTCTCTCTTAATTTCTTCTGGAGAGTTTTCGATAAAGTTATTGACTCAAACATTCCTCCAGAGCTATTGATAGACCAAATGACCAAAGAACTGTTCATCCAAGTGTCCTATTCTTTGTTGAACAGACACGTAACTGTTTTCGGTTTCAGATTCAGCCAAATTTTGTTGGAACACAAAGGAATCAATGTCGATGACAGTCTATATAACATCGCATTGAGAGGAACAAACGTCGGAGGCAAGGAACCATCATTCCTCAGCTCAATTAACGATCCAATCTTTACGAAATGGCTCGCGAAAGATTCCCCAGAAACAGAAATTCCTCAAGAAGTTTTGTCAGTTTTGGGAACTTCAGATCACAAAGCGGTCACTTCACTTAAAGTATTAGCCATCATCAGGAGACAGAGGCAAGACAGAATTGTTGCTGCCTGCAACATGTTCATCAGGAATGCCTTTGATTACGATATTTTGGACACTCCTCCTCTCGATATTTCTCAAACCGCCAAAAATTTACCACCAACAACTCCTCTTCTTTTAGTTTCTGCCGCCGGACACGATCCATCAGAGAAAGTTGAAGCGGAAGCAGCTAAAGAAACAGGTCAAAAGGTTGTGAGTGTTGCTGTTGGCGCTCCTGATACTTATTCAAACATCGAAAAAGCTGTTCAACAAGCAGCAGCAAAAGGAAACTGGGTGATTGTAAAGAACGTACATTTGGCTCCATTTTGGGTTCGAACATTTGTAAAGAATGTTCAACAAATGAACCCATCAAATGGTTTCAGACTCTTCATGACTTCAGAAATCAATCCAAAAGTTGGAAGTAACACGTTTAGAGCTTGTAGAGTCATTGTTTTCGAACCAGCAACAGGAATAAGGGCAAATCTAAAGAGATTGTCCAATTTCCAGTGGCCGGAATCACCTCACAAACAATTAGTTATTAATTTCTTGTGGTTGCATGCTGTTATTGTTGAAAGACTGAGATTTGCTCCACTTGGATGGTCAAAGATTTACGAATTTAACACTTCTGACTTGAATTTTGCAACTCAAGTTGGTTTCAGATGGCTTTCTAAGACAGAAACAATTCCTTGGGAGTCATTGAAGTTCTTAGTTTCCATGTGCGCTTATGGCGGAAGAGTTGATGTTTCTTCTGACTCAAGAAGTCTTCAAAATTTGGCCAATTTGATTTTGAAAGATGGTGCAGAAATATATGGAAATCCAACGTGTAAATCACAAGAAGAATTCAAGAATTGGGTTGATTCATTACCTGCTGATGAATCTCCGGAAGTTTTATATCTTCCTCGCGCTTCAGGAAAATTCTTATTTGTTCAACTCGGAAACGAAACAATTCAGTCAATTTTGAGCGCTATGGCTGGCCAAGTTTCAAGGAGCATGAAAGAGAAACAATCATTGTTTATCAAAGCATTACTTGACCAATTGAAAGAGAAACTCGAATCATCTCCATTATCAGATTCGAGTCAACTTTCAAACCAAGATAATTTGATTGCAACAGCAATTTCCGATGAAATCAATTTCCTCAAAGAAACAAGAGAACAAATATTATCCGATGTAAACGAGATAATTGAGACATTACAGAATGGAGACTGCTTAACACAGAAACACCAGAAGATCATAGAAACATTGAACAGAGGAGATATTCCTCAAGAATGGAATCCACATCAATTCAAATGCCTCGATTTCGGAACATGGATTGATGATTTCATCGCAAGAATTAATCAGCTCAATCTATGCGCAAGTGATAAGAATATGTGCAAGAATAAGTTAAGAGCTGGATTGTTCAAATCCCCAGAGACATTAGTTGCTGCTGCAAAACAAACAGCTTCGAGAGTTAATAAGTGGCCGATTGAGAAAATGGTCATGAAACTCGTTGTCCAGCCAAAGAAGATGAATCCATCATATGATATCTGCTTCATTGGATTGTCATTACTATCTGCTTCATGGGGAGATGGATGTTTGTCTGCTGCAGATGAAGTAGTAAACAAATTGCCACCAACAGTTGTAACTTGGGAACTCGAGAATGAAAGAGAGAAAATGACAAATCCTATAACAGTTCCTTTCTTCATGACACAGAGCAAGAAGAGAATTCTTTTCGAGGCAGAGTTAGAAGCAGATCAAAGCCACTCACAGAGCCGGTGGGCTGTTAGAAATCCATCAATTGTTGTCCAAAAGGATGGACTTTAAATTTATATATTTTGTTATTTTTCTTTTAATATAAATCATTTATTTAAATAAGGAATCATTTTAAAATCTTGGAGCTACAAATTATGCTAGAAAAGTTTGCCCATATTGTCTCTTAAATTAACATCTGCACCATGTAATGTTAAAATTTTAATTGTTTTATTCAAAGGATTTTGAATAGCTTTATGAATGGCGGCTTGTATTAAACCTTTTTTTTGTGCTAATTTTTATACCGTGGAAAATTAGAAGCTCGGCCATTTTTTCGTTTAAATTATTAATTGTTCTTTCATGATTAATAGATTTTATATTGACATCTGCATCACTTTTAATTAGAAATTCTACCATTTCTTTTTCCATAGAGCGTCTAGCAAGATGGATAGCAGTCATGCTATACTTATACTGTCAGGAAGTGGTAATTGCATACTTAATTTCAAATATAAATTCAAAAATTAGGATAATAAACTAAATACATAACAATTTATTTAACACTTGATTTCGATTGTTTTGCAGGAGTTATATTCTTAAAGACATCAGGTATAGGCTGATGATTTTCTTCAAGATAAGCTAAAAATCGGGGTACACCTTCGCATTGCTTCAATCTATCCTGAGTTTCATCAAATTTTGGTTTCAGTTTCTGATGAGCCTCATTAATTGCTGTAGGTTCTTTACTAATAGTTGATATACTGTCAACAAAATTTTTAAGCTTTCTTTTACCGGGTGTAATGATTTCATCCTTTGCCTGCTCACTTTCTTTTGGAATTGAAGCAAAACTAAATGCTTTGATTCCTAAAGATTCTTCTGCTTGTTGTTGTTCACGAGCTTTTGTAAGATTTTCCATGATAATTTTCTTCGCATCTTCTTGTGCAAGCTCTCTTGAGCTTGCTTCTGATTTGCTATCGCCTTCTTCTTTATCATCATCAAAATCATCAAATATATTATTTGAATTACCTTGATCTCTGCCAGACATTAAGTCTTCATCATCTGTAGCAGGGCCTTTTGGAGAAGAAGTCTGTAAAATATTATTTGAAATGCTTTTTGAAAGCAAAAGTGGGGGTGTTGTAACTTTTCTCGATCTTTGTGAGGTTGGAGCAGTATCAATATCACGTTCATAATCATTTTCCATATTGACAGATTGAAGTAATGTTTTAATATCATCTTCGTTCATTTCTACATTAGCATTTCCGAGGAAAGCTAAATCACCTGCACCAAGATTTTCAAAAGTTTCTTGATTTTTGTATTTTTTTCCTTTGTGAGGAATTCTAACTTTGTGAATTCTTGTTGGTTCGATAAAAACCCAAGGGAGACCAAAGTTTTTTAGTTGAGCCCAGTTCCTTTGCTCAGCTTGTAATACGCTAAGCGGCTTCCCAGGACGAGTGGGCTCTCGGTACATTGAAATTGAATTTTCGTAAACTTCACAAAAATTGAATAACGTGCATGCTAAAATTTTATATAAAAACATCATCTATTTAATTAGGATATGATTCCACGTATTATTTAATACAAATTTTGTTTGTTTTTGGCAAAAATTTGTTCTGATCCAAGGATTTTCTGTTACAGTTGATATAACTGCAATATCGATCATAAATTTCAATGTAACATTACTACTATTGCTTATTTCATGAGTCAAATGATTAATCGATGATAAAAAATAGAAAATTTATTAATTATTCCGTGTAAATGACATTCAGTATTTTTATGGGAAAAGAATATTCCTTTGAAGCTACCATAGAGAAGGTTGAAAAATGGATGGAGCCTATGTTCGTGTGCCTTATAACATTAAGGAAATGTTTGGAAAAGGCCGCCTAAAAGTCAAAGCTTATTTTGAGGATGTTGAATATGAAGGGAGTATAGTTAACATGGGTGTTAAAAATGAAGACGGATCAATATGCTATATTTTAGGTATGAGGAAAGATATCAGGAAAAAACTTAATAAACAACCCGGTGATAAGGTCAATGTAAAATTCATGATTAGGGAAGATAAATAAGCTAACTATTTCTTATGTGAATTGATAAAATTCTGTAAATTATGTATATCTATTTTAAACAATGTTTTTATTTATATTATATACTGCCATTTCTATTTCTTTAACTAATACATTATCAGTCTGGTATTTGTGATTGCATGATAAATTTGATAAATAAAAACATTTAATCAAAGTCAATTTTATTTTTCATATTCAAATGGACTGAGTGTTAACATTTAACATTTTTTGCTAATTGTCGTCAAAAATTAGGCGTAAAGCAAAAATTGATATTTCATATGGTTTTATGATAGATAAGCATTATATTCCCACTCATTATATTCGTAAATTTTGAGGTTTATCCTTCGCTTTTAAGATCATTGAATTTGATTTTTATATAAAATAGTTATATATTAGAAAATAATATGAGTTTATGTGATATTATTTTTCAGAAGATTTTGTGTTCTTCTTCAAAATTTTATTTTTTTATTAAAAAGAATCTTTACAAAATATACATTTACTTTAATTAATATTTAAAAACGTGCTCTATCAAAAGTTCCAAAAATTGAAGTATTTGAATACCCTAGTCAAGCATCAAAAATCATTTGGAGTGAATTCTATTAAAAACACTCATCTTAATATAAGAAAGCTGGAAATGGGGCTGTGACCTTTCACAACTTTTTGCGAAACTATCTGCAGTACATCAGACACTAGCAATTGGATGTCACAACGAGTGTAACTGTGGTATCAGATAGCACTTGCAATGGCTATTATGAAGCCAGACCAATTCTTTCAAGTACCAGAAAGCCAAGAAAGAGGTCCAAACTGCAGATTACGGCTTCTTTCTTGGATACTTGAGTTCTCATTTTGCGAAGTTAGTATATTAATGATCTGGACCCTGCAAATATATGAACAAACCGTATCTAATTTGCTATCATCTAAGCTGGTAAAATTTAGAGAAAGCTATTTACTGGTTGTATATTACAAATATACCTTGTAATAGAAAATATAAGTGTTTGTGATTTAAATTCGCTCAATTAGCTCGAAAATTTGTTTTATATCCATGACAAACTAACACAATCCTATTTATGTGATTGCCAATCTGTTCCCAAAATATATCAGCATGAATATATATATATTGATATTATTTGCAATTTCATCATTAAATAGTCCTTTTTTCCATTTTTAATTTAGAAATAGTATATTTATATGATAGCGACACAAGATTTTAATTAAAAAATATATGTTATCGATCATCACACTCAAATTGAATTTCAAAAATTTTAGAATTTTTCAATTTCAATATTGAAAATATATTTCTTATATCATAGCGATTCATGTTATAATAATATGGAGAAAAATATTGTATTAAATCTAAAATTTAAAATGAATGATTGGGCATTACATTAATCCAATTTATTGTTTATTTGTTAATCTAGTGGAAACAATTAATATTTTGGAGAAACAAAAATTTGAAATTTGAAATTTTGAAAAAAATGCATGAATCGGTAATTAAACATTGATTTGTTAATTTATTAGCCATGCTTTTGATGTTGGTCTTATTCTTAAGCCGATTTAAAGAATTAATTTTTCCAAATCGTGTTTGACATTAACACATATAGATATATCAGGAAAAAAGGTATCACTTATCAAGTTATTGGTTTTTATGTATCTCCTAACTTTGCCTCGTTCTGAATACAATTCTAGTTAACGAATTTTAAATAACTATATGAAGAATACATCATTTTGGTTTTATTATTATTAAAATGATATATATTAGCTATGTATATGCTTGTAAGAATATTATTCCGTGAATTGGAAACAGAAAAAATAAATTTAGACAGAAAATGCATATCTTTAAAAAATAATATGAAATTTAGCTTTGATATTATTATCCGATAAAATATGCATGATAATTACTCCGCAAATAAAATTTAGGAAGCAAGTTGTGACGGTTGGGCGGTTTTCAATGGCCCACAAGGAAGGAAGTATCGTTTTATCAGGCAACAAGAGGTCTTGAAATGAGTAAAGGACTGATCACCCTTGAAAGGTTCAAACTTGCTTGCGCGCCGCAGTCTTAAAAATGATATGTTTCACTTCTGGTCGAAAATTTCAACCTCTATGACAGTTGTTGGATGAACAATTGTGTAGCGGGATGAAATCTGAGTGCGGCCTGGGGCTGCAGCATCAATCTTCCCGGCATCTTTACCGCAATCATCTCTTAGATTGCACACAAAGTTGCGAACGAGCAGCTTTTATGCGGTAAAGATGCCGGAAAGAGAGAGTCGATGTGAGGTTCTTTTCGAGGGCTCCTCGAATGAGACACTGTTCCGCATTGATAACTTGAACGCGGAAGTTTGACCGACAAGAGTGTATTGTGCACTCCTGTCGGTCGCAGTGTCTCATTCTGGGAGACATTGCCTCTGCATGTCTCCCAGAATGGAACAATGTTCCGCATTGATAACTTGAACGCGGAAGTTTGACCGACAAGAGTGTATTGTGCACTCCTGTCGGTCGCAGTGTCTCATTCTGGGAGACATTGCCTCTGCATGTCTCCCAGAATGGAACAATGTTCCGCATTGATAACTTGAACGCGGAAGTTTGACCGACAAGAGTGTATTGTGCACTCCTGTCGGTCGCAGTGTCTCATTCTGGGAGACATTGCCTCTGCATGTCTCCCAGAATGGAACAATGTTCCGCATTGATAACTTGAACGCGGAAGTTTGACCGACAAGAGTGTATTGTGCACTCCTGTCGGTCGCAGTGTCTCATTCTGGGAGACATTGCCTCTGCATGTCTCCCAGAATGGAACAATGTTCCGCATTGATAACTTGAACGCGGAAGTTTGACCGACAAGAGTGTATTGTGCACTCCTGTCGGTCGCAGTGTCTCATTCTGGGAGACATTGCCTCTGCATGTCTCCCAGAATGGAACAATGTTCCGCATTGATAACTTGAACGCGGAAGTTTGACCGACAAGAGTGTATTGTGCACTCCTGTCGGTCGCAGTGTCTCATTCTGGGAGACATTGCCTCTGCATGTCTCCCAGAATGGAACAATGTTCCGCATTGATAACTTGAACGCGGAAGTTTGACCGACAAGAGTGTATTGTGCACTCCTGTCGGTCGCAGTGTCTCATTCTGGGAGACATTGCCTCTGCATGTCTCCCAGAATGGAACAATGTTCCGCATTGATAACTTGAACGCGGAAGTTTGACCGACAAGAGTGTATTGTGCACTCCTGTCGGTCGCAGTGTCTCATTCTGGGAGACATTGCCTCTGCATGTCTCCCAGAATGGAACAATGTTCCGCATTGATAACTTGAACGCGGAAGTTTGACCGACAAGAGTGTATTGTGCACTCCTGTCGGTCGCAGTGTCTCATTCTGGGAGACATTGCCTCTGCATGTCTCCCAGAATGGAACAATGTTCCGCATTGATAACTTGAACGCGGAAGTTTGACCGACAAGAGTGTATTGTGCACTCCTGTCGGTCGCAGTGTCTCATTCTGGGAGACATTGCCTCTGCATGTCTCCCAGAATGGAACAATGTTCCGCATTGATAACTTGAACGCGGAAGTTTGACCGACAAGAGTGTATTGTGCACTCCTGTCGGTCGCAGTGTCTCATTCTGGGAGACATTGCCTCTGCATGTCTCCCAGAATGGAACAATGTTCCGCATTGATAACTTGAACGCGGAAGTTTGACCGACAAGAGTGTATTGTGCACTCCTGTCGGTCGCAGTGTCTCATTCTGGGAGACATTGCCTCTGCATGTCTCCCAGAATGGAACAATGTTCCGCATTGATAACTTGAACGCGGAAGTTTGACCGACAAGAGTGTATTGTGCACTCCTGTCGGTCGCAGTGTCTCATTCTGGGAGACATTGCCTCTGCATGTCTCCCAGAATGGAACAATGTTCCGCATTGATAACTTGAACGCGGAAGTTTGACCGACAAGAGTGTATTGTGCACTCCTGTCGGTCGCAGTGTCTCATTCTGGGAGACATTGCCTCTGCATGTCTCCCAGAATGGAACAATGTTCCGCATTGATAACTTGAACGCGGAAGTTTGACCGACAAGAGTGTATTGTGCACTCCTGTCGGTCGCAGTGTCTCATTCTGGGAGACATTGCCTCTGCATGTCTCCCAGAATGGAACAATGTTCCGCATTGATAACTTGAACGCGGAAGTTTGACCGACAAGAGTGTATTGTGCACTCCTGTCGGTCGCAGTGTCTCATTCTGGGAGACATTGCCTCTGCATGTCTCCCAGAATGGAACAATGTTCCGCATTGATAACTTGAACGCGGAAGTTTGACCGACAAGAGTGTATTGTGCACTCCTGTCGGTCGCAGTGTCTCATTCTGGGAGACATTGCCTCTGCATGTCTCCCAGAATGGAACAATGTTCCGCATTGATAACTTGAACGCGGAA